TCGCGGTATGGCAGACGCAGCCGCTCACGATCTTTGGATTGCAGACGATCGGAGAAGGAGAAGCCTTGACACGGGAGATCGGAGATCGGAGATCGCGGAAGGGGCGGGATAGCGGACGATCGCGGGATATCGCGGAAGAGTGGAAGACGCAGGATTGCAGCCGAACGATCGTCGAACGCGGACGATCGGAGAGAGGCACGATCGGTAGATGAGCGGCGCTCGGTGTAGGCACAAACGAGGGCAATCACCGGAGAGAAGGCCGTGATCGAGCCGAGCGGGAGAGACTTTCTTTGATGGCTCTGATACCATGTGGTTTTTGAATAAATCTTCTCACACAGAATACATAGATAATTCACCTATAAATAGGTGAGTACAAGAAAAACAAAAGAAGGAAAGAAATCTTCCTACAATAAAGTAATTCCAATAACTATGGAATAACATAAATACCAATAATTAAGGAATTATACTATGACTAAATATAGCACGTACTAAATATAATTAAAGTAAATAATAATAATAAGGAGTGTAATTCCACACTTAACATCCAGATTGAATCCACTAAGATGTAGACACTTGATAGAATGAACTATGTTAGTTCTCTCATTGTTTTTATATGATTGAATTTAAATAATATGCTTCAAAGAACATTAAGTTTAGCTTAACAAACAATGAGATAGCTAGGATTAGGCGTTTGCAATTTATACTGGACTACTATACCTCAATTCGCCCAATTTGGAACAGGCCGTCAAAATTGGGCTGAAAGCAAAAATTCAAATGAAGAAAATTAACCAAACTGACTTCGTACCTTCCTAATCAAATGCCAGAAAGATCTCAAGGACTAAGCATACTGTTAAGCCGAGGAAAAAAAGCCTAGGCCTAGTCAAGAAGAGTAGGTAGTTTAATTTAGCAGGTCAGTTACGCCTGATTTATCAGCTTCGGTCAAACCAAACTCATTAGTTGAGGATCGAGGCGGTTGAGTGCAAATTAGGTTCCATTGCTAGTGCTATTATGTGTGGCCTAACTTTTTACCCCAAGTTTTTTTTTTTCTAAAAAAAATATCTTATATTTGCATAATTATTAGAGTTGTAAGTTTCTGCGATCAAATCACGGTAACATCTACAACAAAGGCAAAAAAAATGAAACCAACAGTTGGATGAACCTGTATAAAATTCTTATATGATATATGTGTTGATTTTTTTTCTATTTTTGGTTATTTTCACTTACATAGTAGCATTACTTAAATTAAATGTCATCTATTGTAAACGACAAACTCTAATATGGATCGACCAATGACCCATATTAGAATAAGTTGAGATTAACTAGATTCCACTTGAGGCTTATTAGGCTATGTGACCATGGTCAATCTACTAATGGTTGGTGTTGAACCATGATTAGTCTGATTTGATTTATGACTTCCGGCCTGAAAGGGCATTAATCAAGAAAAGAGACTCCTTGAACAAGAATGACCATGCAGGCTAGCTTAAATGATATGATCAGATCTATTCAAAGCTACATGGCTAAGCTAGGTCAACTCAACCAGTAACAAGCGCTTTGACAGCCTATTTGAGAATATTGACTTAGTTTTTGGCTAGTTTTTTGCTTAATGCTTAATTTGCCTTAAGCTAACCAATTGGCTAAGAAGACCAATTTCATGTATTAGGTCAACTCAACTTGAAGTAGGTAATGCCTAGAGTATAGAAATATACCTTCCAAGGGCTTTGGAGTTCGTGCAAGGGAATGACAACCATTTTTGCCCAATGGATTTCCTTAGTGCTAGGTTGTCATTCCAAGTACTTAAACTGGTCATCCTGAGGTTAGACAGGCTACAAATGTAGGCCAAAAAGACCAAACAATATTAGCCAACCTAAGCTCACAAGTAATTTTATTTATATTAATTATAAGCTATAAGTAGCTTTTTAGGCTTTACTAAGGCTGCTCGGGGGTGAAGTTGGCCACCCAAAAACAGAAGCACCTAGTGCAGCTTCTGGTCTCCCGAAGAACTCGTGAAGTCAACAAGATCGATAGCATGAATGAAAAGGGAATGTCTGCTGATTTAAGGCCGCATTGGGCCAGTCATGGCACAATTATTGAAATCATATGAACCCTAAGGCCATTCAACATCATGGGCTATTTTGACCTTTTTGACAGCTAACAGGTAACATGTTTAGAAGTTACTAAGATGAATAAATAAAGTCAAAATTAATTCAAATTGTAACATGAAAAGTTGTCAGAAACGAAGAAATGTCCGCTCATATATTTGGGACAAGGCTGATGATGATGATTATATAATAAAAAATTTTATATATTTATCAAAACGACAAGCAAGCTACAGTGCAAGCAATTCATATAAATCTTTCATGCATTAAATAAGGCATTTTATATAAATCTTTCATGTATTAAGGAAGAGCTATTAGAAGATTCAATAAATCTGTCCAAATAGATAGAAGATAAATTGTTTAAACTGGTAAGATGATATTACCTCCGCATGTCTTTCCAGGTTTGTAAGAAGAGAGTTTATTGCAGCTTTAAATATCTCTAGTTTAGGAAGCTTCACAAACAGCAGGAGTTTTCTTGTGGCCAATCTGGTTATGGCACCGACATCATTTAACAAACTAAGAAACTATAAAGATAACAAATCTATTAGATAGTTCGAACAAACTTCATCACTAAGCTTCCTCATAGCAAAATTCCAGGAACCACTAGTACAATAAAAATACAGATAATGAATCAATTGAAACTTCGAAGAAAAAAAAGAAGAAAAAAAAAGACTCTATCGGAGGAATATAGTTATAGGTAAATGAAGATACAAACTGCAAATGTACAAGAAAATGATGTTCTCTGGTCACAAATCTTTTCATGGCCCGGACGTTATTTAACAAGCCATGAAATTGTAATGATAACAGATTGATTAGACAAAGCTGAAATGGATTTTAAATAACATGCTTCAAGGGCCTAGAATTGAATGAGCCTAAAACAGAGATCAGAAGAACAATTTTTCAACCGTTTAGAATGATGGCAATCTATAAGGCTACCAGATAATCATGCAGAAAAATAAAAGATTCCATCTGAAATTAATCAGTGTCTATAATATTTAAAACATCGATATTGTTTGTAATTGTATCTTATTCTTCAAAATATAAAAGCAACTATGTTGCAAAATATTGAGCAAAAGCTACATATTATATGAACTTTATATCGATGGCTTCATGCAAGATTAGGTTTTAAGTCCAAAATGCTTTAACACTAAAGACAAATGGATCATATAGTCTAATAATTACACACTTTATTCAATTTTATTTTAAGGAATAGCATGCCTTACTAAATGCTTATTTTATCAAGGGAACTAGTTACTATTGTTGTAAACTTCCTTGGGTTTTCTTAGGAAATTATAACGAGTTCTTAATGATATGCCCTGTTGAAGTCATCCATCATAACTCCTAATGAAGTCATACATCAACATACTTCTCCAAGAAAGCAAATAGGTCTCATTTCATTACCAACGCAAGCATCTTACTTTGAATTTGTTGCATTATTTGTAGTTTATTTACTGAGTTATTTGTTGACAATCAAAAAATTAATTGGCATGGATAATCAAAACTTTATAGTTGTCATTAAGTTCATTCTTATGTTTGGGGTAGTAGTGATGGAAACTGTGTTTAGTTTATATGCATAATGTAAGGTTTGTACATTCTACCTGTGAAAATTTCTGCCAGTCTCAAACCTTATTTTTTAAAAAAACTAGAATCTATCACATTTATATTTGTGTTTCACTTTTTTTCTTTTCAGCATAAATGTTAGTCCTATTTTTTTATGTCGAGATCTACAACCTTTTAAAGGAAAAGGGCATCAACTCTTCCCAACATATATCTCAGCAGATCAAGTTCTGAATTTCCTCCTGCAAGTCCAAAGCCAAATTCGCAATGTCATAGTACTGATTCAAGATTTTGAGCAAATTTATCAATTGAAACTGCACATGTTCTAAATAAAAGCATAATTAATTTTTTTAATAGAGAGAGCATCCAATAAGTGATATTCTAAGGTGACTTGTGTGCTAAACTACAATTCATAGTTTCTAACCTTCTTGAACAATATCATCAATAAAAATCTCTAGAGGATAATTCTTCACATCCTATAGGAGTTGATGATGACCGTCATGTATAAAGCTTGCATGATTTCCACTAGTTGAAACCTAAACTCACCTAGGCTTTAGCAATTTAATCTTTATCTTCCCCAATAAACTCATTGATTTGTGGAATCATTATTGACAATTCAATAATTTATGGATAATATAGTTATTCTAGAATTACTATTTTGTCAACTCATCAATCTGCAAACGATTGTAACCATTATATAATTATTATTCCTTGAATTTGTATTTCCTATTAGATGCTCCCCGAGAATCATATAAGTACTACCCAACCAATTCTGTCCATTGTTTTTATGGTCTCGGAGCCCTAAATTTATTTCTTAACATTTCCATAAGTTGCAGCCTTCATAGTCACATTGCCTAGAACTTACAAGTCTACTGCTATAGTCCTCTTTCTGCATTGTTAAAAATATTTCCCCGTACTACGTACTTCATCATCGCATGCAACAAATAACTATATCACTGTTGCTGCCTTTTTGGTTGCGTTGTCGCATTTGTTTCCTTTTACATTTTTTTTCTTGTGAACAAACTTACATGTTCTCTCTACATTGACAACAATAACAAAATTTGTATACCCTTAATCTCAGATTCCTTTAGACTTGAGGGATGCAATCTAAATCCAATGAAAGATGGAAAAACATCCATTCAACATATTGGTTGAATGGAGAGAATTATCAAGATTGGCCTCAATTTTTTTGGATGTTCTTAAAGAGAAAAAGAAAATCAAGCCTTTTACAAGACACTAAAAGATAAAAACTTTCTAAATGCACCTAGAAAAACATCTATAACAGCTACTTGCATATCATTTTTCACATTATCTTTTCTCCAATTCAAAAATTCTGATATCTTTTTTTTAATTCCTAGATAAAAAATTTATTTCACACCCACCTTATCGTAACAGCAATAAAGTAACCATAGGCAATAGATCCTTGACCACTGTGGTCTTTCAATACATTATTCTTATAAACAAATCCCTCATACTCTGGCATGTCCTCATGTACCTACATTATTTACCAATTTAGCATCAATTCAAAAGCTAATTAAAAATTTAAGTACAGTGCTGTATTTTATCATTCATATTGCCTTTTAGAACAGACTATAAGGAGAACAATTGAGCTTACTAAAGTAAAGGATGGCATCTACCACGCAATGAAATCTAATAATTAAGAAAACTCCATACATTTTTTATTGTAATATCTTCTACCAGACACCCTTATGTCCAATAAAAAAAATGGCTTCAACAACTACCTCAATCACCCATCACGAGATGTTATTAAAGACATGTTTCTTTGATTATTCAAATTAAAAATATTAAAAAATTTTAAAGGCACTTACATACATACAGCTAAACTTTCATATTTGCATGCATAGCACTCAAATATTTACTATTAAATCAAAGATATCGCTATTAATAACATTTTAAAAAAGAATTGCACCTTTTCAAGAATAAATTTATGTCCCCAAAATATTATAAATGTAAATAAAAAATTATAGGTGTAGATATATAAATACATAGGAAATGTGTGGTATGCAGGTAAACTTCTCAAAATCTTAATGTGGTGTTTGTGAACTATCAAAACATAACTATACAAAAATTTCAATGAGCAACATAAGAATTTTCATACAAAATTCATATGTAATTGCCATCCCTATCATATTTCTCAGATGATCAAAAATAAATTGGGTTGAAACGAAAAGAGAGATCAAACAATGCCAAAGTTTACTTTAACTATTTTCTCTCATTAGGCTCCCAAAAGATAAAAATAATACATGAGTCCTACGGTGCATATACACACATAAAATGTACTAATTAAATAAGAGAAAATCACCTGTTTGTTACCTCCCGAGAATAATTTTGAGGGGTAAAATGCTTTAACCACCACTCACAACATAAGTCAATGCCTCCAACAACCTTATTCCAAAGATATTTGAAAATGTTGCATTTTATTCATGCACATACTTAAATCGAGGAAAACTTGATCCTCAAGCAATTAAATGTGTTTTCATTGATGTAAGAGTGCAATTACTATTCCCCATGAAAAATATGAGTCTCTGTGATTTTACTTTCAACGAAAAAGAAGAAATTGTTTTCTTACGGTTTGCCCCAAGAAATATCATTCACAAATATTTTTTTCTCCAAAATTGTCCATCCTCACACCTAATCTCAAAAGATAATGCTATCTCAAACTCAACGCTCATACCCAAGACAATTTACTCAAAAAGAAATGCATATTTTTTTATGCTAGCCTAATCAATCGAGTAAATCATTGTCACTAAATCTACTGAGAGAACCACCAAAGCTTACAAATAATGAATAGGAATTACACTTTAATCAAAAAAGATCTTTCTCACCAAAGCCTACAAAAGAATGAATAACAATTCACTTACTTTTATCAAAAAAAAGATCTTTCTCATAATCAATGTTCCTTTCTTACATGCTTTCATATTACTTCTATCCCTAAAATAATCTTTGAGGCATTAAATAATGTGAATTAAAATAATGTTACAAATGAACAAATAAAAGCCCCAATAAAATAAAACATGTAAATTACTAAAAAAAAGAAATCAATAAGATGTCGAAAGGTTTTTACAGTAAAATAAAAATTCAAAATTTTACTAGAAAAATAAATCAAAAGCCTAAAATAGTCTCCATACTATCAACAAGCAATCAATTTAATCTCAGGGCCTTAAAGTGCTGAATTTTAGTCCCAAGACTATTAAAAATTGATTCAAATTAGTCCCTAGGTTGAATTTCATGCTTAAAGTTAAGGTACTTCAGAAATAAGAATTTTAAATGAACTTTTATTTTTATTATTACTCTATTTTCATATATAATGAAGTACTTCTCTATTATGTAATAAAATATTTTATTATTATTATTATTACATTTCTTAAATAATAAATTCTTTTTATTTGGGGAATTTATCGATTCTATTGATAAAATATTCAAGTTCTTTAAAAAGGGATGACTATATTTGATTATTTACTTCATGAAATAAAGATTTACCCTCATTCATAAACTTAAATAATTTATTACATATGAAAATAGAATAATAATAAAAATAAATTTCATTTAAATTCTTATTTCTAAAATACCCTCTAATTACAATTTGGTGGCAACTTTCGCAATGAAATTCAACTTATGGACTACTTTGGATTATCGTTTAATAGTCTGGGACTAAAATGAAGTACTTGTTGATTGTTTGAGGATTATTTTGAGCTTTTTCTCTAGAAAAATTTCAAGTTGGACCACCGGCCAAAGATTTCACATATACATATGAAAATGATTACTTTAAAACATACTTTCTAATTGCTGAAATGAACATAATTAAATTGCTTATCTTCAGCATTTAATTGGGACATGAAAAAATAGAAATCTTACATGAATGCATTCATAGATAATGACCCAGTGAAGGAAATATATGTAAAAGACTCGATGGGATTTGGCTCAAATACAAATAAAAGGTATGATA